GGGGGGGGGGGGGGGTCACACCACTTTTTTCAAGTAATAGAAATATACATTGATTTTTTTCTCACTTTTCCCATCGAAAAATTGTAATTTTTCGTCTGTGATTATTCTCGAGTCCACCAACAATCCTCCAACATTAGCTGCCATTCTATGACGCGGGGTCATGTTTAGAGAAAAAAGAGAACGTGGGCAAGACAAATTCAAAACATTAAACACATATAAATTTATTAGTTGTCGATACTTATTCAGTAAAAATGAAAATTTCATTGAATTCGGGCGCAACGAGCAAGGTATCTTATTTGAAACCCGCTGATCCCTATTTTTCTCCTCTCTATGGACGCACGTAGTGGGAACATAGCGATGACCTTGAAAATTGACATTCACCAACAAAGTTATAATTTTTTAAATTGATAGTATTAGACAGATGGTGAACATCGGTGACAATTTTAAAATTTTAGAACTTATGGATATCGAGAAATTAAATAAACAAAATCAGTCTTATACACGGCCTCTTATGGAGTTTTGATTAAATTGAACGTTTCAACCCCCTAGGAACTCAAGAAAAATTTGAAAAAATTTGAAGATATGGGGAATGATGTGTTCAATGTGATGGCGACAAAAAACAATGGGGTACCGGGATGAATAAGAGAGATATTTCAACCCGCCGTACCCATTTGATCCCATGCTTTCTCGAGGTTCGTCACGCGAAATAGAGGATTTTCCGCATTTATTTTCTCGATGTCCAGTTCCGGTTGCGGGTTTGAAATTTCGTCGGATGGATGAATACATATTTCTCCAATGATGGAGGGAAAGAAAAATTTTTTTTTGAATCTTTTCAAATTCACTTGGCACCCTTAAGGTATCTTATACGAAGCCTCTACTGTACTTTATTTTTGCCAAATATTCATTTACTTGAGATAAGCATTTATTTTTTCAAAAGCGTATTTCTCCAATCAAGTCATTCTTAGGCGAGTCTGATTAGGTTTTAATTATGCCAATCATGTTGCTCTAGAGGATGACTATGTGGCACATGACCTGGGATAACTTCCTCCAATGATTATTCATTGTTCCTAAATCGCTTATTTTCTAGAAGGAAGAATTTCGATTAATTTTTTAATGTTGATAATTGTTGAGGGAGTTCACTAAAGGTCATAACTAACATGATCATCTTCTAGAACAATATAATTACTATAATTAAAACCTAATGAGGATTGCCTGAAAAAAATACTACTGGGTGGCATTTCATGTCAGCGTGGAACCTACACTTCTGCAGTTCAACATTAAGAATTTTAAAGTTGTAATTCATTCAGGAAAAGGGAAAAAAATTACAGAAAAAATGCGGGAAAAAGTTGTATTTAATCTGAAAAAATCGTTCCCAAATTTACTCATTTTTACATTTGTGTCCGTCATTTCAAGGATACATTCGCTACTATCACATACATGAAGTTACATGTCTTTCATTTTATTTTGTTTATATTTTTCATAGCAACATTCCGTGGTTTTACCAAATTTTACCGATTTAAAACAGCGCAGGTTGTATCACGTAACATCATATGCCGCCCTACCATTGGCAGATATTCTGATCAGGGGAATAACCATTTTTATTTTGATAATAATAATCAATTATTGATTCGGATTCAATGGGCTAGAAAAAGGTGGGCTTCAGAATCGATAAATTTTCAATAAATATCTTCCAATCTCAAAGAGGTAGTGAAATTGTGGAGAGCGAAGTAAGGGATATAGAGAAAGTCTCCGAGAAAATTTTGCTATCTCGTTTAGGTCGGAACATATTCATGAAAACCTGATGGTGAAATTAAATTACCTCATTTTGTCTTGTCACCTTTCAAATGAATTTTAAGTGGTTCAAATCGTGGTGATATTAATTTTAGCATATCACTAACCAATTCCTATTTTTGTGTAATGTAATTATAATAATCTTTATTTTAATTCAGAGTTAACCATGGCAATGAATAAAATTCACGAGTCATTGGTGGCCGTAGCTGGAAAATTACAAGGAGTTCACGCCAAAGTGCAACAGCAGAAGGAGCAGTACCTCAATCTACGAAAGTACATACTTAAGGATAGTACAAATGTCTTTGAGGAGACGAAACCGAATGGAAAAACCAGTAGGAGTAGCATTGGAAGGGTCACCAGTGGACCCACTCCATTTGGTCCAGGTAAATATCTTTTCGTTTTCATTCCTCATTTGTTCCATTTAAGGATATATCCAAGTGAAATCCTCTTCAGAGTTTATAGAGTAGACCAAGAGTATTTTTTAAATGCAATATCAAATTTCCGAACATTTTTTTGAGAAAAGAAATTTTGAAAAACAAGGCCCGGGTGGATTATCTTTCGATTGGTCGTTTTTTTTATTTCGATAATCTGAAATGATCTCCAATTGCTGTTCAGTTTTATATAGCCATGGAGTCTCCAAAAATTATGATTGTACAATCAAAAAAATGTTGAAAAAAAGCTGAACATTTTCAAAGAGCATTTTTGAATAATATGGGGAAATAAACGCAATAGGGAGGAAATTGCAAATTAATAATTTGATGTATCTAATGGCTGTCAGATCGTTAGTTACCATGATAAATTATTCATTCACTATTTCCTCTCTATCGGACATATTTCTCAATCTTTATTAAAAACGTTCTTTGAAAATGTTCAGCAGTTTTTTCTTTACTTTTTTTGATTGTACAATCATAATTTTTAGGGACTTCTGCGTGATGTAAAATCCAATGGAAATTGTATACTCCCACCGTAAATCCAATTACTCATAGTCTTAAAGCATATGGGAAAGGCAAGATATTCGGCAAAACTGAAATATTGCTTGAAAAAAAGTTTCTAACTGGAACGAAGTACCTGAATATCCTTAAAGATTCCTTTTCAAAGATCTTGACAAAGAGAAGGTTCAGAGAACTAGATGAAGAGACTTTTTTTTGCTGAAATTTTACCGAATTACAAACAAAATCTCGGAAATATGCTTCTCACTTTTTTGATTATTTTGAAAATTTAGATGAATTTTTTTAGAGAATTTCATAAATTACTGCTGAAAGCATCAAAGACTTTTTTTCAGAATTTTCTCAGCAAAAAAAAAATCTCGACAATTGTGAAATTTTCTGTGAGGAATTTTCAATTTCCTTCCATTCATCGGGCTCTCTTCTTTTACAGGAAATAAAAGTTTCCTCTCATCAACAACAATAACCTCAGGTCGACAGCCCAGTTATGGATCAGCAAATCCTCTCGGTGAGTAGAATCAATAAAACAATTGCATTAAAAAAACAATTTATGTGACTTTATTGACGTGTGTCTATCGAATTTATCAATACGCCTGTTCCATAAAAGTGTCCTCCGTTCAGGTCTTGCGTGGATCTAACGTGAGGTAGATTACACTAACATAATAAAACTGCACAAATTTTCCGCTCACTGCTGAACAATTACGCAGATTATCGATTATTATTTAGCTGCAATCGTCTCCACACAGTCAGGCCAAGTTTCTGCAGTAGTTATTTATTTTTCTCTAGTCCCTCAATCATTATTTCATTATTATTTTGCCTTTCCAGGGGAAAAGTAATTGCTGTTTTGTAGTTATTGAGGTATTTGAACATTTTTTTTATTCTGTGTCTGCCCCCACTGTTTAAAAATTACGAGGGCTTACGGTCATTCAAACATCCCATTGTTATTAACTTTTGCTGTAATCATCTGTGTCGAGAATTTGGAGACGTCACTAATAGCGATTCCACAAAATGCGAATACTTTCGTCAATTTCTCACGCAATAAAAATTAGAGAATTGAAGAAAAAACAATCTTTGGCTTTCTTTTCTCTTTCATTGGTTGGAGTTTTTTTATTTCTCGTGCTTTTCAAGCTTGCGGCTGCTTAATTTGCTCCATTATCGACATCATGTTTGACACTAATTGTTATCCTGTTGTAGAATAAAAGTGAACTCCGAAAACTTCTGGAGATTGTTTTGGAAATATGTTTAAATTATTAAAGATGAGTGTCAAGAAATATTGTTGGCAAAAGAAGAAAAATCTTTTCAGGTCAATGATATTCTCGTGAATTGATGGACGATTTTGCTAAGAGAATTCGCATTTTTGCCGCAAGAATATTTTATAGACAAGAATACTTTGTGAGGAATTAAGAATTCCAAAATTCTCAATTCAATGAAATAAACCTTCTTGAAGAATGGAATCTCCATGGAATTCTATATCAGAAATGTGTTTTGATAATGTCTCCTTGCGTTGCTAGATGCACCATTATCATGGTGATTTAATAATTATACAGAACTAATGGTTGAAAATTTAAAAAAAATTAATTTCTCATTTCGCCCATGTAATGTCTCGGAAACTATTGAGTCTCAAGCGAAATGGCGGAATATCTTCCTTGTAATTTATAAAACTTCAAAGTAAAATGTCTGCTGATAATTTCTGCCAGCATCCCTTACTACTCCACAGAGGGAATAGTATATTGTGTTACAGTGCGTAAAGTTCCACTTATTCGCACGCACGTGTAACGTATTCTATTTTTTGTAATACTTGTTGAGTTCACTTTTGGGGAGTGCAGTCGGTGTAAAGTGTCTGGTTTTTGGCGCGAATTGTGTAAAGTTCTAAGGTCGCGTGTGAAGTGAATTTCAAGTACGTAAAGCGAAGTTTTACGCCCGAGAATTTACTTTACTTTACGCACGACTTCTGAAAAAAGAATTTTTCAAGGCGGTATTGCAAACAAATCTTTTTAAAAATATTTCTTTCGGGAATTGTTACCAAAAATTCTTATGAAATTTCCAATATTTCAACAGAAATCCACAAAATATCATATTTTTCCCTAAAATATTGTGAACTTCACTTGAATTATTGCATTTTTCACTAGAGTTCTGGAGAACATTACTGAAGAAAGCTAACATGCTGTACGCTGGCTAGAATTTTATTATAATTTTTAGGGATCCTTCAAATATTACGGCGCCCGTTTTTTAGACCCTCTTCCCTCTCAATCCTCAGCCGTCACAAACATGCACCTCTTGTCATCACAAAATTTATACAATTGAATTTGAAAAATAAGAATAAGAAAAAGGAGATAAATAATTAGATGAACAATTGAATCTTTATGCGATGCTCTTTGAACCTTTCATAACTTATTAAGTTGTTGCCATTTGTGTGAATCTTTGCGATAGTTTGAAGAACTGTTGAGACCCCTGTATTTTAGGAGAACAGATGACGCGAACAAAATTGCATTTGCGTTTCCGTCGATTAAAAAACATATATCGACATCTTAATAACCGACAAGCGTATCTACATAGGGACCTCAATACTGATAGGTAAATATTACAGTCTTTATCTGTAATCTTGAAGTATTTCGACGTATATTGTGTTGGGAACTGCTTACTGTAAATGAATTTGACAGAATTTAACATGTACATGTACGGGACCTCCCATTGTACGCTTTTCCTTCTAAAAGCAGTTTTTTAAATTTCAATTATGAGGTGTTCACATAAATTCAACGTGTAGTGAAGCACTTATTTTTAAAGTATTAAGCTTCACTAGCACTTAGTATTACCCAGGAGTCGTGACGGGAACGCAGCTGGTATGAACCCCACAAAGGCCAAAATTGGACCCAGTCACCCCCTTCAAGTCATATACCTAATTGAATCTGACTTAATTTTCTTGTTGATTACAATTTCTCTTTTTGTTAAGGGGAGACTACTGTGAGTTTTCAAAGTCGTGGGTTATTGGAGTGAGACTTTATACGTTGAAGATCGATTATATAGATCTAAAAACGAGTGATTAGTGTAAAAAAAATTTTTTTTCATTGTTCGTTTGCCCGAAAACGCTTAAAATGCTAAAAACAGTGCAGGGCCTCCAAGTTTTGAGCTACGAGGGATTTTTTTTTTCAAAATTTTGGGAAAAATATGTGGAATAACAATTACGAGCTAGTTTTTTTAAATTCGCTGCTTACATGGCTAAATTTGCTTTTTTTGTATTTTTTTAACACAAATAGTGAATTTTTTTATATGAAAAAAACCGAAATCAGCTGTGTAGGAGTCGAAATCCAAAAAACTGGCTCGTAATTGTTGTTCCACACATTTTTCCGAAAATTTTGAAAAAAAAAAAAATCTTTTGTAGCTCAAAAATTGGAGGCCCAATTGGACTGTTTTTAGCATTTTAAGCATTTTCGGGCAAACGCACAATAAAAACAATTTTTTTTTGCACTAATTATCCGTTTTCAGATCTATAGGGGAGGATGGGGCAAAACGGCCCCCCTTCAATCGTCAATATTTTCCGATTCAATAATCCGATTGGGATGAGTTAGAGCTCGTTTTGAAGAATGAAAAATTATCTTCAAAATGAAGTTGAAACTGGGAATTTTCACAA